GTAATTTTACCCGGGCGCAGTTTACATGTCACCTTTTTACTCTTGATAAAAACTCGGGCGCAGTTTACATGTGTGATTTTGTATTTACCTGTATTTTGGGCGCAGTTTACAATCGCCGATTGTATTCTTAGTATTTAATTCTGTTTTGTTTATTTCTTATCTGACATTATTATCTTATTTATTATTATATAATTATGCTCATTATGTTTGATTACCAATTATTACTTATTGTATCCCTGTATCTATGAATACTGTAATTGTTGAACTATAATAGTTTATACTGAAATTTCTTAATAAAAAAAAAAAAAAAAAAAAAAAACATTGTTTGGATGCTATGATAATGATTAGATTATTATTTCTGCACTTCTTTCTCTTAAACTCCTTGTCAAATAAACACACACATTTTAATTACGTAGTTCCGTGACGAAAATGCTGTTTGAAATTAATAATTTTGAATATTTTAATTTATACATTACACGAAAATAATAATTAAACGCTAAAAACTTGTCATCCTACAGTTTAATGCAACGTGATAAATCAAATAATTAAAATGTGTCATTACGAAATGATTTTGTTCAAGTCTGAGACGAATGCTGAGGGTAACGAAGAATAAATACATTTTTAATATCAATTTAAAATCTATTTTATAAAGGTCTCTCCGTGGATGAATTTATTAATATGCTATGTCCCGCGAATGTTTAGTTATTCAAAGCGATGGGATAATGGAATCTACATTACTTCAAACAAGTAAATCGCCGTGGGACACCCCTCGAGTTCAGGTACCAGCTATGTATACAACATATATGTACAAACACGAATTCGAATTCTATTAATTTTGGATTAGTTTACGATTTGAAACGGAAAGAATATATTGTTACGTATATAACAAAACTTGAACGGTTTTACAACTGAACATTAAAAACAATAAACATCAACTATTGAAACGGTTTTCTAAAACCAATTTTTTTTTACAGGAATACGTAGTGTAATTGGAAGGCTTTAAATCGAAGATGTGCTATATTATAGTACGACGATATTGATAATAATTATTCATTAAATTAATTATACGAATATTTGATATTATTTAAGACAAACCAAAAACAATTTGTATATAGATATATTATTATATTGTCATCAAAGTTAAAACAAAGCGATACATTTTTTTTAATCAAACAATGAAATAGTTTTACTATCGATAAAAAATAACTAAAAGCTATAACTTGATTTTGTTCTTTTGTGTGTGATTTTACTCAATTTCATAAATCGTTGGTCTACATTTAAGTTAGGTGAAACAATATTAGAACCTAAATGTTGGTATAACATATCCAGAAATATAAATTAAGTATAATTGTATGTATTGCGAGCCCTAAAAGTAGGTATAAGTATAACTATATTATATAATGTGGGTAAAATGTAATTAGAGATGTACTTAAGGTGAATAATTAAAAAATGTGTCTAAAAGATGTTTTATGGGTTGGGATAAATGGATGCCTTTCAAATGTTCAGCATAATATTTTACTTGTCTATATACTTTAAAAACGTGAAAAGAATGTTTTAAAAAAAAAAAAAATTGTTATACGTAGAACGTACGTCTTAATGACATAATAAATCAAAAATATCATAAGGTTGTATCACTTGTATCAATATACATCGTCATTCGTTAAATATACAGAACAAACTTGAGCACCAATGAATATAACTACACTGATGATACCGAACGGTAGTCCAGCGGTGTCTCTCGGGAACGCTAATGTACGTCTAATGTATGCAAATATTAAATGCAGAAGGATAATAATGTGGTATGATAATTTTATGATATAACCAGGTGTTTTTCAACAATCGGTGACAACAGTCTGACAGTATATCTCGATAAAATGAAGAAAATAATTACTTTACGAGTTTGAAATAATATTATACATTATGGTGGCAACACTCAATCGTATTTGTGTGTACATAAACGGTCGTCGGTGCAGGCACCTGCCTGTTTCGTAAATCCGTTATCGTTTCTTTTTTTCCTTATTTATTATTATTTCTCCGTCGTCGCCGTCGTTGTTTTCTAATTGATGTGCACGCCCTAATGAATCTCCCGTAAAGTTTTGTTGACGCAGTTCAACAGCGGAGGCGGCGGCGGCGGCATACACACCCGCGGCGATGGTAGATGTTTATAACTGTGTAATTAACCCAAACGTTTAGCGGTTTTTGGTGGCGACGTAGGTGGTGGGGAGGGGGGGATTGCGAGAAGTGGAACTGAGAAGGGCAGAGATACACGGAGAGTGCAGAAGATAGAAAAGAGAGAAGATACGTAGGAAGTGACGAGAGTGAGAGTGGGCGAACGAGAGAGAGTGAGTGAGTGGGTGAGGTCTAATTGAAGGGCTCAATAACACGGCCACGTAATTAAGTGAGTGCTCTCGAGTTTTTCCCGTACAAACAAAACGTTTTTACCGCCGCACCGCCGATAATACCTATATACCTATCTTGCACCGTTTTTTAACTGTACAGCCGCACACCCTATTTCACCAACTCTTGACGAACATGAGGAGTGAGGACGACCCGCGGTGGAGATTGAACGGCAGAGATTGTTTTTCGTTTTTTAATCTTTAATAATACTTTTTTCTCACCGCATCATTCGCGGTCTCATTATAATATGCATTTCGCCACGGATGCACTACACTATGAATTATAATATAGACACTATATAAGGCGTTAAACAATAATATTTCAAAGTTGCATGTGTGTGTGTGTGTGTGTGTGTGTGTGTGTGTGTGTAGGCATGTAAATAATCGAGAGTAAAGTTTTGTAACCTAAGTGAATATTTAAACGATTGGTCGTCGCGTTATAAAAATAAATCTTTGTAGTGTCCATTGCTTATATTTTATTATTATAATATTGTGTAGGTAGGTACTTACAAAGTATTGTTTTCACGACATAAAAAACAATTTTAATTTAATGATTTGTCAATTTGCTAAAATGCTACGCGTTGTGGTTTTATGAAACGATATTTCTTTGTGTTACATGATTTGAGCTTACAAGACGAATAGTTTCAATTACGTTCAACAGTATTCATCTGGTATAAAGAAAAATAAAAAATAGAAAAAATGGTATTTGGCAAACGGTGTGTAGAGATTCGCTTTGCGGACGTTTTCCATTATAAACCTATAGGGGCATGACAAATGCCCGTGTGGTGGTCCCTTCCTCCTCTTCCATAAATGATGCCTCTGTTTGCAACACAATTTATTCAACGTATTTCTTTTTTACTTTGCTCTTACATCCATTTGCTCCAAGGTCACACTGCTTTGGATACCCCGGGATACCGCTAAACAAGTATGACCAAGCAAAACTTCGTACCCGAATAAATTGTGTAGAAATCTTAATGTGTTTAGAATGAGCTTTTGGTTTGATATTATTGAGAAAAAGAACAATTTTTCCTAGATTTGAAACGAAATTGTTTACAATATCAAACATGATTTATGCTACAGTCCTAAACCATATTTACATTTGTGATTTAAAATGGAATTTCATATATTTTTTAGAGTCTGAGGAAATCGATGGATATGTAAGTTTTGGAAACCTATATTATATTTTCTTTTCTTAACGATATTATACTAAATAGTTCATCAAAATGTATTTTAATTGATCTCACATCGATGAAACTATCAATCTAATTAGAATAGTTATAACGGTTTTGGTGATAAATGATTTTATATCTCACAAGACTAAATTATATAACTAAAATTAACAACATTCAAACTTAAAATTAAAAATAAAAACTGTTTAAAAATGGCAAGAAACGTTAATTTTAATCATATTATTATAATGTGATGATCGTTAGACTATATTATTATACAACATTTTTAAAAATAAGTAGAACTTGAACGTTATTCCGCATTTTCTAATTTTAAAATATTGTTTCAATAATTTAATTTTCCATCATTACACACAATCCAACCTATTGACATAAAAATTGACGCCGTACGCCCTTGTTCTGTTCGTAACAATTAAAATTATAATCTAATTGGATTAAACAGACAGCGTATCGGCTATATTGCAGGTTACTGGTGGAGGTTTTATTTAAATTTGATTGATTTATCGACATAACAGGAGTAGGTATAAATTAAAATGTAATACAATCATTCTGATTTCGAGTGCCTATAATAAATGTATTACAGGGACAACACGCGTTTATAAAATCCTGAAATAATCTCCCAACACGCCGCCGTGGATACTCTAGAACATATTTGTTGTTGAACAGCAGGTTTTTCGATAATGATAATTACACAATATTATTTACGTGGGGTCATTGTTGAATAATATATTATGTATACAACATTGTGTTAACAACCTGCAGCTGAAAGTGAATTTAATATTATTTACATAATATCATACGTTGTGTGCAATATCGTGCCTCATTAAATTCCAAACAACGAAATATTATCGTAGAGCCGACCACTGCACAATTGACATCGCATATTGTTATCATACGCATTTCAGTGGGGTAAGTTTTGTTCGTACGTCGTCGTCGAATGACCTTTTTCGATACTTACTTATACTCGCACTTGATGCACTGACCAAAATATGTATACATGACGTTGAATTATTAAATCAACACCATAGTCGTTTACAAATCCAGTAAAATCGCAAACAAACTCCCGCCCCCCCCCCAAAAAAAAGTCTGTCATAAACACGGCACGAGCGGACACTCGACGCGAAAGGGTATATATAAAAGCCACGTGGACTATCGATCGACACGTCAAATAAAAGCCAAACTGTTTGCTATATGTTTTTGTTATTGTTATTATTTGTGCGGTGCGCCACTACAATTTAATAATATTGTAATAATAATAATATAATAAAATATTCGGGTCCGTATCGCATAATACTAAATCAGCTGGAATTCCGTTAAAATAATAATAATTTCAAAACCAAACAAAACCGTAGGCACGTAGTCACACGACGCTTATAATAATAATAATAATAATAATATAATAGGTAGGTATAGGTACTCACAGTATTTTACTGTACGCCGGACATTCGGTTTGTTCGACTATGGACTTGAAAGCCGAATAAATCACATCGTTCTGAAACAAACCGCGATAAAAATGATTATTATTCAATAACAAAAATACATTTTAAGTTCACACTCGAATAAAATAACATAAAACCGCGGTAAAACAAAAAACCGTGATGAAACGGTGACAACGACGAGGTAGCCTCGCCGGTATAAACCTCTGTGGGTCACAATTTATTTAATTAATCCGTTGAAAGCGGTTATTCTCTAATAGCACTCCATTTGGCTTTTAAATGGATCCGCAGGGGTGAAAAAATTAAATAACGGTTATGTCTATGACAGATTATTATTTTTTTTTCATTATTAATATTCCGTTATTCCGACGAACGAAGTATATACTCATCAAAAGTGATCGATATATGCGTTAATTTAATGTGAAATCATTGAAAAAAAAAAAAAATATTAATAAAATCATACAAAATAACACGAAAATACTATACTTATACGACGTCATTGCACCGTGTTATTTTCCTGTATGTGTATAGGTACATTGTGGAGCTATAGGCTTGAAAGTATAATAGGTACCTATAGTATTCGTTGTTCAACATTTTATGATCAAACATTTCCATTATATTAAACATTATACACACCATTGTTGTATATTGTATATACCGTAATATATATATATATACAAGACCTCTCGAAAGAGAGTATTTCTCTCAAATTTAACGCAAAAGGGTTCCTTAGAACTCGATTGGTAGTTTATTGAAACTACCAAAGGTTTTCGGATATATGTCGACAGTGTACGTATTTTCGAACAATGGCGTGGCGTTCGCAAACTCAACCCAACATCAATTGGCTGACCCTCTTGGGACTGTTTTTACTATGCAACACCCCCAAGAGTAACAAATTTGGTGAACATTTGTAACGATTGAAAGGCGCAATGGACAAATTGTATTATTTTTTTTATTTTTTTACAATAATAAATCATTCTCCTTCAACGATTACCCTTTGAATGGGCCAGTTCCGTAGGGTGTAGCTAATGAAATATCGTAAAATTGTAATCCATCTTTTATTCATCGTTTTCACAAAATGTGAAATGAAGCTATACCATCAAATTGATTCACTCCTGATATCAAAATGTATGTTGTTGTATTGTATTATACATTATTTATCAAAATAAATAAATAAAATCTATATTTTTGGTAACACTGAATATTAATATCCAGCAACGGATCTAGGGGTGAGTAGGGTGGTCAACCTTGGGAGAACATGAACCAAGTGGTAACAGCTAGACTGTCACAAATTTTAAATGGTACGAAGTATAAAATAAATAACTGAATAAAAATACCACGAACATTAATAATCAAAGCAAATTTTTTTATTACATTTTTGTTTTCTATTATGAACAAAATATAAAATTATTTATTGTCAGATTGTTAAAAATAATAGACCTACAATTATTGTATACCTATATGTACCAATAATACCAATATGTAACAGACAATGTCATATATTATATTCTCGGTATTAAATTATCGGGTAAAAATATTCGACCTTAGTAATTATATCATTATCCGTAGGTAATATACTCGTATTACTTGACAATAAAGATAAACTAATATCCGGCCGCAGTGGGCCCATATACAAGAATTGGTTAGCGATAAGTGATAACTGAGCTTGGAGTGTATATTTCTGAGGTTTAGCAGTTAGTATTATATTATAAATTACTACGATTAACATATTTATTATCATCCATCATTGTTCGATGTTCATTAGTTCTCGAATGAGTATGATGTGTGGATGTCAACATACTATTCTCTTTCAATAAACAAATGTCTTTTATTTTTTTTTAAGCTATAGAACAATCGAAAAATAAACAATCATTGGCTAGTGGTTTCATACCGTATAATTCACAGCTAATTACAACCTTTTAATTAATATTATCCATTATATCGGCATCTATCGAACGCAGTTTTAGTAAGCCGAAACTTATTAAATCATATTTAAGGTGGACCACAACAAAACACAGACATTAAAATATGATCCGCCAACATCATAATATCCATTGATCACGAAGTTACTAAAACTATAAATCATGAAGATATTGTAAATAAACTCGCTTCGAAAATTAACAAGAAAAGTGTTATCCTAGCCTCTATATACTTATATCACCGAGAGAAAGCAATTCGGCGGCCCCCAAAGCTCGTCTAATGTTGCTCATTCCCACCACTTTAACAGTGCGAGTGCAACCTGTCAAACGTCGCCACCCCATAGATTTGCGCATAGACGTAAAGGTACCCCGTGGTGGGAGAATTTGTACCTCGAGACTGCTGTTCATTTTTACTTTAATTATCTCGGTGATTTGGGTAGTTTATTTCATAGGTAGGTACTGATTATGTATCTATATTAGTTTATAGAGGTATCACCGGTATCGGTTAGGTTAGGTGTATTATACATTTCGATGTGTGTAATGCGTATAGCTGTATAGGCATGTTTTATAAATCACTTTCACTTTGCTGACCAACAAATGTCCAATAATGTCCAATAAGTCCACGGTAACATATTGATGGACGTTTTCTTGAGATTCCAACCTCTAGCACAATATTGCAATAATAGCCAAGAAAAATTACAAAAATTAATAGACCAACGATAATGTACAACAATATCCAACAAGTCCACGTGCATAATTATTACCGGATAGCTTTTATAAGATTTTAATACACATGTTATGACAATTTCAAGTACATTAATTGTGATTACGTATTTTAAAATCACTATACAAGAACAATAAGTATTATGGCCACTTATACGGAATTTTATGTTTTTAAATAATATACACAAAACGTTTTTTTAACTGTCAAAATGGTTATTTATCTATTGTGTTTTTATTTTATGACTAATAATTAGAACACATATAAAAATGTTTATTAAGCTTATGACTCTTATAACTTTGATATTATTAGAAATAATCTCATTATAATAGACAATAAAAAGAGAGATTAAGATACAAAGATATTTTATTGAATAGGTCATAAAAACATGATTTTAAAATGCATATGGCACGTGATGAAATTTAATGAATAATATAATAATTCCAATATGGATAAGGATGGAATAGTTTACTTTAAAGTACCTTTTAGATTTTGATCGGAGAGATGAATGTATTTATTTTACAATGACAATATTATGTGTTTTTTTTTTTTGTGTGTCAGTGTTCACGATAAGTAGTCGAAATTCTGCTTCGATTTTCGACATCAGTATCTTTTCTGATGGGAAAGTGGATCTAGTAAGTGCATTAGGGAGGTCAACATTTAAAATTAACGTTAGGTAGTCTTCATCACAAAATTTGTGTTACTAAAACCACTTCAGTGTATCACAGTGTAAATAAACTCGTTTCGAAAAAAAAAAACAACAAAAGTGTTCTCCTAGATTCAATGTACTCAAATCGCCGAGAGAACGCAAGTCGGCGGCTCTCAAAACTCGTCTATGAATACATGAATGCACATCACATGACGTACCTGCCTACAGACTGTCTTACTCTTACACATGTAGATACAATATAGCAAATTTCCATTCACTAGTTAGTAGTTTCAATGCTCTTAGTTAATATATTAGAGTGAGCTGATTTAGGTATAATCAAACTTTTAGGTAAGAAAATTATCTGTACTAAAGCGTCGGCGAGTTTTCGATATTTTATTTTTATCGAAATATGAGCTTTTTTAATTTGTAATATTTCACATGGCCATATCTTGCTTGAAAATGAAAATATCAAAAAATCTCTGACGCTGAAGCACAGATAATGTTCTTGAGTAAAAGTTTGATAATTGGTCAATTCACTGTAATAATATCAAAACTAACAGCACAATATATTAGACCATCGCAAGAAACTGCGAACACAATGCTTAAACATAATTTATACTACGATGAGAACTGAGAAGCTGCATTAATATTTAATTCATACTGATAATATTATTATGTCCAAATGGTTGTGTACAATTATTATAGTTAAATGGGTAATTGAGATTCCAAATTACCAAAATTCAATTGTCCTATGAAGTATGAACCGCGGATGTGATGTTTATCGATTTCATATTAGTCTTTATTGTACTATAAGTGTAAGTGGACAGTATGTTTTAATATTATTTATTAATTATGTATTATATTTCATAATTTTAATACATAGTTCAAAAATCACAAACACGTAAGTTAATTAAAATACACACTTCAAAACCACGGGGCTTATAATACATTTTTGAACCTCGGGGCCCTGGACAACTATCCTTCCCTATTTAAAGTGAAATGAAAATTAGGACTTTAATCCAACCTGCAAAATATTCTCATCTTTTAGATAATAAAATATCATTACTTTCAATTTTATCAGAATAATATTGAATTATCGGGCGGTACTGGTTTGAGCACAAATACCAAAAAAACAACTTTTTTGGGCACAAAATTACCACTCGTTTGGGAACAGTTCAGCCGTATCCATCAGTGGTGTATATAGGGGGTGGGCACAGTGGGCTGCAGCCCCTCCCCCCGAAATTACAGTATTTTTAAATAGAACAACAATATATTTTATTAGGTACTATTATAAGTTATAATATTTCATAGCCTGTTGAAAAATAACAAGTACAAATATATTTATAGAAACTGTTAAATATATAGTAGACGGTATAGCCTCTCAGTAATAGATCACTTGCTAGTTTCTGTCTACTAAAGCCCACCCCAAAAATTATTTATATATACGCCACTGGTAACTATACACATAGTTTACGCACAGTTACCTTTTAGACTTTAATAGTGTAATACCTTGCATATTAATATTTGTTTATTAATAAGTAAATTATTCAAGTACTTACATACATTTTCCTTCCTCCTCAACAGACTTAGGACTGTCTATAAATGTATTCATATTTCATAGGTGTGGTTAAAAATGCATGTCAATACTTGCTTATTAATAATTGTTAATAAATAATATATAATACGTGTTCAAGTAAAAAATGCATTTTAATTTTAATGTTAATAGAATATTTCTGTACTCTTTATCGATGATTATCAGTGCCCAAC